AACCCTGAACCCTAAACCCTAAACCCTAAACCCTAAACCCTAAACCCTAAACCCTAAACCCTAAACCCTAAACCCTAAACCCTAAACCCTAAACCCTGGAACTGAATCTCAGGTCTCAAGGCCGTCGGTGCCACATGTATATTTACGTTTGTCTTTGAGGAGAACGTGATGCGAAACTGGAGGCATCTGCAAGAATGCAAAAGAGGGGCACCGGCATCACTGCTGGGCATTTTTAACACTTGTGCGGGTTCAAGTGCTCATGGCCTTGCTCAGGGCTTGGCTGCGATGGATGCAGCGTCTGGTCTGAACAGCTAAGTACCTGTTTCTCAACGGGAGCCCGGGACTTGACTTGATTTTACGTCCTCCAAGGAGGCTTGCGGTTAAAGGGTTTAGGGCACACACCTGAAGATTTTGGGAGCCCTTTTTTGCCGGCGACGAATATTTACTGATTGGGCACTTCAAACCTACTTCCGTTTCCTTGAGTCTGAGCACACCTCCTGACTCTGTGCAAAAACAAGTGTAACTAAACGAAACTCTTCGATTCTTTGATAGACATGCCAGCCGAACTTCATACGCCTTTGCTGGAGCTGCTTCTTTGCCATATAAATTTTGCCTATGATTGCCTTATCGCATCTTTTGGTAAAGCCCCTCACAAGGAACTGAATCTCAGGTCTCGGTCAGTCCTCTTTGAATGGGCAAGGCTGTCGGTGCCACATTTATATTTACATTCGTCTTTGAGGTGAACGTGATGCGAAACTGGAGGCATCTGCAAGAATGCAAAGAGGGGCACCGGCCATCACGGCTGGGCTTTTTTGACACTTGGATGCAGCGTCTGGTCTGAACAGTTAAGTACCTGTTTTTCAGTGGGAGCACGGGACTTAACCTGATTTTGTGTCCCCAAGGAGGCTTGCGGTTAAAGGGTTTAGGGTGCACACCTGAAGATTTTGGGAGCCCTTTTGCCGGCGACGAATATTTACTGATTGGGCACTTCAAACCTACTTCCGTTTCCTTGAGTCTGGGCAAACCTCTTGACTCTTTGAACGAAACGTTTTTGATTCGTTGATAGAAATGCCGGCCGACCTTAACAAGCCTTTGCCGGCGCGGCTTTTTTGCAGTGCAGGACAGCCGCGTCCTCTTTAAGCCCAGCTTCTTAGGGACAAATGCTACATCGTTCCAAACGACCCTCCTGGGCGACAAGAAGCCGGAATGATCTGCCTATAAAGCCTTTATTCAGGCATATTCAGGCCTTATTCGTACAGATCTCACTTTCACAAAATTCTCCAAGGCAGTGTTGGCAGGTGCAGATGACGATGCCTCTGGGCGGAGAGACTGGATGGCACATCCAAAGCTGAGCCAGCTCGCCAGAATGTCAGCGCCAACCTGGCAGTGTCTCAAATGTCTCACAACAGGGATCCTTCTTGAACTTGCCCCTTATTCATAGTGAACGAATGAAGGAGGTTATCGGGTCAGGGGTCATTAACCGGATATTGTATGGATTTAGGTTCGATTCCCTGATATGCCAATAAATCGCAAGTGTAGTAGGCAATTGGTTTCTTTGCCATTGCGGAATTCTGAAAAAAGGGTGGTGTTGAAGATCCGTTGCGCTGCAGGGTTGCTCTGCAGGATTGTCTGCGACTCTATGGGTACTGCGGGTCCTCCAGGGCTGGACTCTCGTGACATCTTTCCTTTTTCACATGTGTAGAGGCCTCCTTCAGCTGTTGCGTCCAGTATCATCGACCATCCCAGTACGACTTGTTGCGGTCATGTTTAGCTGTTGTTCTTTCGTGTGGTAAGTGTTCATGTTTTCTCACCCTTGGTACAGCTATTGGATTTTGACTCAGCAATTCTCCTCAGAGCATCCCTCGAGTGCTCGCTCCAGAACTTCTCGCAAATGATCCGTGGAGCGCCACCCCTAAAGAACCCAGCAGATTATCCTTGGCCCTTGGCTGCCCACCCCAGGACATTCCTCAAAGGACCACGAGACTGCCGCAGTGTCTCCCTGGAGCGTTCATCACCAGAGAATTGTCGCAGAAATCTTGCAGAACAATGTATCCCTACGAAGCTAGTGCTGAGCCGGGTGATCATGATGATAACCGGATCACGATCGTACTGATGATAATGATCATATGGATGACGGTCATAATAATACTGACTGCAATGGTAGCAAACACAGCAAACTGTGATGCTCATTAAAACGTTACGAAACGTGATTCAATGATTAAATGGCGATGATGATTATGATGATGATGATGCTAACCGTGATACTGCTAACACAAACAATGGTGATAATAGCAGCGGCAATGGGAGCTGTGATGCTCATGATGGTTGCCCCGACGATGATGATACGAGTGATTGTGGTGATCAGCGCAGCTTGAAAGTGTTGCTCGTGCTTATAGCGGCGATAATTCTTATCAACCTGTTAATTCTGCTGCTAATAGTACTAACATCCATTGTATGATGATGCCGAGAATGGTAGTGGTGGTAGTGGTGGTAGTGGTGGTAGTGGTGGTGGTGGTGGTGGTGCAGACCCCCCCCCTCGCCTATAAGGCAATGTTTTAAAGGGTCCAGTACACGCCCGCCCCAAAACCTGGACTCCGAATTTTGCTGGGAAAGCACCTTGAATCAATGAAAGGAAGGTTGAACCAAAATGGACGCAGGTTTGGGCTTCTGATTCTACGGGCAACCCCACGCCTGTATAATGAACATTTTTTCAACAAGCAACCAACCGTGCTTTACAAGGACCGATGGGGGGGGGTCGATAGGAGGGAGGGGATCAGTCCCTGAAGCCTCCACCCGAATCGAACCCCAAACTCCTGAACCCACAGCCCGGCTTCCTCGGAGGAGGACATCTTCACACTTATGTAGATACTGCCTTCCCTCGATCCTTGAACCTGGACAAAACGCGGCAGGCCACATGGCCCAACTTCCGGCTGATCAATGTGGCCAGCATCGCCGGCGTGGCAAAGCGGTGCCCTTTAATTGGGACGCGGCCTGGGATGTGAAAGTTTAGGTCCCTTTCAGCTTCACGTGTCAAGGAGTGGGGCCCCTTTTTGGGCCTAGGGTTCAGGCTCGTGCAATTGAAAGGCTAAAAATCGCAAATTGAATTGGTTTTCCTAAAAGAAAAACAACGTACCAAACAATCCTTGTAAGTACGGACAATAGTTGGTCGAAATAATGTTCAAAAATAAAATCACAAAGGCTAGTAAGAATACGCGCAGGAGGGCTGGTTTGCGCAGGAGCATTCCTTTCAGAGACAATGTTATCTATAGATTTCGGGTTTAATCGTTGAGGTTTAATCGTTGAGGTTTAGGGAGTAGATTTTCAGGGCTCTTGGCTCTTCGGGGCATGAATGAGAAAAGACGCGTATGCTTTGAAGCAAGCTTGCACGACTTAAAAATGCCACCTTCCCATTTGCACACACAATGCTGGAATCATGGTTTATCAACATATACGTGTGCTTTGAAGCAAGCCTGCACGACTTAAAAACGCGGGGGGGTGGGGGGGGGGGAGGAGCCCCACCCCCCCCCCCCCCCCATTTGCATGTAAAATGCTGGCATCATGGTTTTTCGACACATACGTGTGCTTTGAAGCAAGCTTGCACGACTTAAAAGATGCGGGGAGGGTTGGGGGGGCGTGTGGGGCGCAGCCGCCCCCATGTGCACACACACACACAATGCTGGTATCATGGTTTTCAGACATATAACATGTACGTGTGCTTTGAAGCAAGCTTGCACGACTTGAACAAGCAGGGAGGGACGGGCGCAAGCATGGGAGAACTTAAAAAAGAACGGGGGGTTGGAACGCTGTCAACAGCCTTTCCTGAGTCTTTCATCAGAAATCTGCGGGCGAAGTCCAAAAAAAAGCGTTTTTGCACCGACACCTTTTCCAGCCTAAAGATGCAGAAATGCTGCCCTTCTCAGGGGAATAGCAGCTGTAACAGAACAGAACGTCCACATGTCAAACATCCAATTCAAGAATTTGACGCGCGACATTGCGCGGATCCGGAAATGTGCCAAGCCACAGAAGTACGCGCCTGCGCAGTCCGCAGCATGACTCACGGCGGCAGCAGCAGCAGCAGCAGTCCCCTCCGGCAGTGCCCCAGCCTTCAAGATCTATGAGGTTCTTGACCACCACTTCGGCGGGAGCTGCAGCGTCAGGAGAGGGCCAGCAAACTGTGAGTTTTCATGCCATGGTAAGGGAAGAAGTTGTTCGTGAAGGAGATGAAAGTTCAAGGAGTGACTGACCGGTGTTTGGACAAGAATGGGACAAGCTTTGCGCAGAAGGATTGCGGCACCTGTGATGGAGCAGGTGGCTAGAGCACCACCAGTGAGTTCGGAACAGGGTGGTGCTCTCATTCTCCCTCGTGTTGCTCAATCTATGTCGGAGTGGGCATCGAGGCCAAGGACGCAGACAGTGCATCAAGTGGGGTTCTTCGTCAGCTCACTGGGCGGGGTGGGAGGCGACTTTTGGCCCCTGGTGTGGGGGACGCGCTGCGCTCTCAGAGGTATTACCTGGACCTGGTCCCTGATGACATCGAACCGCGAGGCAATCCGGGAGGCGAAGGCTGGCGTGAATCTGATGCACCAGGTGAAGTTGGACATCATTATCAAGGAGGACGGGTATCTGAGCGCAAACCACCTGGGTTGGAGCAGGAAGAACGCGTTGACGATGCTCAACGGGAAGGTCGCTTGGATCCTGGAGGGTGTTTTGGGGGCTTCGCAAGGTGAGGTTCCTGGAGAAGCACGCCAAGCCGGGCTTCGATGTCAAAACTGGCGTGGAGATTCCGTTGATGCCTGAAGTCGGCGGGGCACATGCTGCAGTGGAGATCAGTGGAGTTCGCAGATTGGTTGTATGAGGCGGAGCAGGTCATTGGAAGTCTGTCGGACAAGGCAGCCTTGTGGTTTTCAGCTTGCTTGGAGCTTGCTCGTACAACCTATGTGGAGTATGTGGAGTCGTCCCCCATCATGAGGTTGGGTTTGGAGGCGCGGCTACCTGAGGAGCTCAAGGATCAAAAGCGAGAACGGCTGGAGCGAAGGGTCATGACGCTACTTCGGGAGCTTGAAGAACTTGATTGCTAAGGAGGAGGTTATGACGCACAGAATGTCTTTGGTTTGACCACCTACCTCAAGAAGCTTTAAAGGCTGGTTTGCTGAAGCTCGTCTACGTGATGTGTTTTCTTGAACTGCTGAAGGATGTGCCAGGAGCGGAGGGCTCAAAAGAACCTTAGCCTAGGACAGGTGCAGATGAGTTTCTGTTGCTTTGTACTCTGGTATGTATTGCTGGAATCGCGATATGGGAAATGGCGAAATGGGCTGTCAAACAAGCGTGTGGGCGAGCGAAAAGGTTGGAAAGAATCTGTGAACTGGATAAGCTGGCAGCAGAGGACGAAGTGGATAGGGCCTTTGAGGCCCAGCAAAAGCCCACGCGTGAGGCTTGGACCGCCGAGATTGTCGCAGCTTTTCTGGTTTTCGGGATGAGGAGCCTTGCCCACGTCCTGTCGCGTGGGTGCAAGATGCGGCAACAGCTATGGGAGAGAGTTCTTTGACACCCCGAGAAGCTAGACCTCGACCAGAGGTTATGTTGGTCTCACCGGGTGGGGTGAGTGTGGCGTCTTTTTGAGACCTGGACAGATGACAAGGGGGAGGGTCTGCTGCGATGTGTTGATGCTCTTTCGGATGGAGGAGTTGAAGGGAGGGCCTCAGGCCGGAAAATCTGGCTCTGAGTGGCTTGAAGGAGAACTTGGCAGCAAGGTTGGCGGCCAAGCTCGTCTGCCCAACAGACAGATCCCACCAGAGTCTGCCGACTGTGAGACAGCTCAAGTATATCATGTGAATTTTGAGAAGACAGAACTTGAAGGGTCGAAGGCTTTTGTCATGGGACAATGTACGGACGAAGGATCAGGCTTCTGCATGGGTTGGAAAACGGCGAGGGCACTGATCTATTGGGCTCCAGGCACTATGGCAGTATGCATGTCAGATGTTTCGTGGAGAGGCCCATTGCACCAGGGTTGCTACAGAGTACCGACCTCACGATACCTGCCCTGGATGTGACTGCAGGCCAACAGGTAGCAGTCAAGGAGGAGTGTTGACTCCCAGCCCTCCTGTTGTCAAGCGTGACCGTGCCGATATCTGAAGCAATGGCCCGAATACGTGTACAGGGGTTTACAAACAATAAGCATGACAGCTCACAGACAACACTTTGTGCTGTGAGAAAAAGGGTTTCTTGATCGACTTCCTGCCATGCCATCGTCTGTCCTTTGAACCAGCTTTGAACGATGCAGAGAAGATAAGCATGGCTTTGGATCTGCATTTTCAGGCTTCGCCCACGACCTCTTCCCCGGATCCTAGACCTTCAGGATTTGCTGGTTCGGGGCCACAACCTGACGGTCCTAGTGATCGTCAGTAATCATATAGCATCCATAGTAGTATAGCAAACAATGCTGTGAGAATGGTGTGGCCGACAATAACAATACCCCTTTGTACTTGCAAGGATCTGTTCAACATTGGTCGTGGTCGATGCTTGACTGGTGCTATCATCAATGTGCATATTGTTGCTATCACTTGTACTCTTGTTTTTGACCTTGTGAATGTATACCTCTCACTTTACTGATTTGTATTGATCATGGCCTTTTATGTTGGTGTGAATTTTAAAACCCCGCGCCATTTACAAATTCACATCGTGAAGCTCAAATATAAGCCCCCCCCACCCCCCACCCCCCGTCAATCAACAAACTGAATCCTGGACATAATAATGGCAGCAGTCGCGGTTCCTAACCCAAGATTCTGCAGCGACAGACCCGGAACAGATCTGCTTGCACTATGCTTCTGCGGAGAACCTTTAATCTGCAGAGGCATCCCGCAAACTCGTGCCTCGGCGGCAGGATCTCATGGCCAGGACGGGCCGCTTGCATCAGGAAACACAAGGGTTTTGTCTCAAAATCGCGGATCCCCCCAGTATACCCCGCTACTCGCTACTACCAAGAATTGCTTCATAACATTGACACATACAAGTACCCATGTTGAGAGCTGAAAAGAGTATGAAAAAAAACATTCGGTGTATGTTGTACCTGTTCAGGCTGGACCGCTACGATGGAAAAACAACAAGCAGCAAACAGTTGTAACCTCGGACATATTTTCTTGGGACTAGTGACAGTGGCGTCTTCCTGTGGCTGTGGGTTTGTGTTTACGTGAAGATGAACCAGATGAGCGCTGCCCCTGCTTGACAAATACGCAACTCGACACTTCTTTCCTGCTTTCAGCTTGGATGCTAGGTTTAGGGTTGGGAATTTGGAGTTTGGGGGTATAACATCTGACAGATGTAAAAACCAGACGTAGTCCTGAAGCACGACCTGAAGCAGGATATCCAGGCCTGAGAGCCCCACAGTATGCTGCAACTCCAACCCACTCACCCCCTTCCACATTGCTGTCTCTGGAATAGAGATACAGTACCAAAATATCTTTGCATCGGCACAGCGACAGTAGAAAGACCCTTGCATAAGTGTAGAATCCCCACAAGCGCCGCTTGGAAGCAATATGATTAAGAGGCAAACTCCATCGAGACAGCAGCACGCATGCACCTGCTTCAACCTGAAGCGGTTCGGATCCATCTAAAAGCGCTTCAACGCTCAGCATTCATACTGCCCTTCGTGACAACCATGATCATAAGCTGCGAACATATGAGTGACTGAGAATTGCTGTCGTAGCTACACAGCAAATTCAGTGCAGTGCTGGGTTCTTAGAGGGTCGCCGGCAGACATGATATTGCCCTGATCCCTAAACCCTATGCAGCCTCAAGCATCTCTCAGAATTAACTGTACACAAAGACATGTCAGACTGTCAGACCCTACATTATATGTTGTGCCTGCTGTGGTTGAGGCTCCAGGTAGGCTCCAGGTGAGACGGTGACAAAGAAAGTCCCTCAAGGCAACCCCTGAAGGGCAAGCCTTTGGGCACTGACACTTGGCACCTGAACAGTCATCACAGCCCAGTGATATGTGACTTGATGTGACTTAGAACCTTCAGGAGTAGTTAGCACAACCAGCCGCAAGCATATGATCTTGGCGGCATGTTAGGGCAGTCTTGGTGGACTGTCAGTTGACCTCCCATCTAAGAATCTAGGTGCCTGGGTGAGACGTGTCCAGCGCAGAAATCGCATTGTCGGCTCCGCTGTTGTTGAACCGTCCGGAGATGAGTCGAGCTACAACTGAACCGGCGGCCGTGATGAAGTACGCAAGTATGGTCTTCTGAAAGGTTGGGTTCAAAGGCATGTAGAGAAGCTTGGTTTGATAATCGCCTCCGCTGCTCATCCTTGAGATCATCTCGTCCAGCAGTTGCCGCTGATGCTCCATGTCCGGCTGCGTGCCATGTAGGTACGTTGCCTCCTTCAAGCGCTTCAGCGTTTGGATGTGCTTGACCTGGCAATAATGCACCTTGCCGGCCGTGTACACGCAAAGCAAAGTTGAAGCACTCACCACAACCAGAGCATAGATGGCCATCATGTTCGGCGCATTGTTGAGGATAGCTACCTGAACAGCTGAATCGGTTACTAGCCAGCAGGAGACTGCCAGATAGGCCAACACCACATTTTCGTAGCGGTCTAGGATGTTTTTCACATCTGTGTGGAGGATGGAATCCCTGGCCAATTTCCAGACATGTAGGTGGCATGTGGAGATCTGGTCCGTGTTGGCCCACCACGCCAGGATCGTATCTAAAATCTGCATGGGGTGCATGGCTTGCTTGAGGCCAGAGACCGTCTTAGAGAGGGTAATCGCAAAGAGGCTGGACAGCATCCTGGGCACAAACAAAGTGGACTCTGAATACGGCATCGCTAAGGTCTGAGCTCACGTACTCCAAGCGCAGGTGCGTGCGTCACAGTCTTCCGCTCTTCCACTCTGTGTACTGATAAAATGCGAAACGTAAGTTGCCAGAAGCAGGTCGAGACTCGCCATGACCAAGGCCTTCGAAACAGCGCAAAGGACCACGCCCATCCAGTTGTGCTTCACATTGAGCATGGCAGCATGCGAAACCCAAAGGGTGGTGCGCGACATGAGCAAGTACTTGTGTGCCTCGCACCTTGAACCGGAGAGCAAAAGACAGCTGTAGTACAGCTGCAGCGTTGAAAGAAACATGTACCGAAGTGCAATCATGAGTGAATTCCATGCAACTGACTGAGTACAGCACCATGGACTGGTACTGTTGCCGGAGAAAGATGCCTGGGTTTCCTGGCACCTCGCTTCCACAAACCTTGCGGGGGCAAGTATGGCGTTTGCACCCAGACTGCGATGACGATGCAAATCTTAAAAGAAAGGTGCACCAACAAGCTCAGCACAACACAGTAGATTCATGAATGAGCCTGCAGGTGTATGTTGTGTTCCTGCTATGTTCTGCTGTATATGCTTGAGTCACGGAACCCGTCACGATCCACCACGTAGTAAAACCAAGCGTAGGAATCCCCTTGGGGAGCAAGGAAGCAGAAGATGTAGAAACCAATCAGGCCCACCAAGAATCCAACTACTGTGTAGACGCCACATCCAGTCAGACATGTTCGCTTTGGTGAGGAGCCATGCCCCTTATCTCGGTAGTCCCGGTAGTACTGGGTCAGCGATCGGCCGAAGAAGCCTTGAGAGCGCAGGTTTGTCAGAACGGGGCAAAATTTATAGAGTTCACTGATCTTCACCTCCTCAGGATGGTTGCTCCACTTTCTCACTGCATCCTCCACCTGGTCAAACCGCCGGATGTGCTCCACCCATGCATCGTGATTTGCGCAGCCGGACATCCGCAGGCGCAGATTTGCCTGTGCTCGCATCAATGCATCTGGCCCACACAGCTCCAGGATTGTAGTGCTTTCCGAAGAAGATGTCTGTTTCTTTGCCAGCACCTCAAGGTAGGTGATGTAGATTGCGTATGTTACTGTGATGTTGTGTGCGAAGTGAAGCAGCTGCCGCACTTGAAACATGTCTTATGTCCTTGACAATGCTTGACACAACCTTTGCTTCACAGGCACATGCTGGAAGTCCAATGCATCGAAAATCTTTGTCAAATCCGTTTCGAAGTAGTCCTCCAGCTGCTCCAGCGAGTCGGGGTCAACTTGTGGAGCATGCCTCCTGATCTGTGTCCTGAGCTGACGAGCCCTGCTCCGCAAAACGAAAGCGGCGACTCCATCGACGGATGCTCGTCTGTGCGAAAAGAACCAATTATGTGACTGCTAACGTTTGGGGTCAAAGAACTATGATGGTGGTAAATAAAAGGACCCCAATATTTCAGCTACGGAATTCTTGACGACAACCCTAGACCTTCTTGTAGCCGCGCTACATGTGCATCTGCTTCCGAACCAGGGCTTTCAGCTTCACAGCTGCTGCCTGTACCATACTCAGATTCTTGAAGCTGAGAGTCTTGTCCTGACGAGGCAGCAGCCCACTGGTTTCTGAAGAGTGGCAACAAAAACAAAGCAAGCAAATTTGCACTTCTCTCGTCGTGTCCTGGCTGTTGCAGCTGTCCCCTGACTTGTCTCCGTTCATGGTATCCCAGGAGATGGTGCCTAGTCCAAACTTCAAACTTCAACGTGCTCAGAGAGATGAGGTACAGGAATAACCGGTGCTGCTTTACGTTGTGAAGCCAACAAGATCCAATAAACATTGTTCTGCGATTGCGCAGGTGCCAGAGAGGCACCTTGGTCAATGATAGCAGCAGAAACGCAAAGGAACACTGCCAGCAAAACCACGGTCCAGCTTGGCTCGAGGAGTCCTCCTGACAGGGCAAATTTGGATACATGAAATGCACCCTCTCCCTTCCTTCGTGGGCTCCGGGATTTGCTCATCGGGAAAACTGACGCCTCGTTCTTAGTTACCTTGCTGGCCAAATCTGCTCACTTCCTTCATTGCAACCCATGCGTTCTTTCGATGCACAGAACAGTTTCCATAACAGCAGCTGTAGTTAAATGAGGCAGGCTATTGCAAGATTCAAAGTTGCCTTTTTCAATCGCTTCAAAGGAAGATAAACGGAGTTCCTTCATGATTCATTGAAGAGATGTATTGAGAGTGGCCAACAGGTAGTTTTGTTTCATCGCTAACAGTCTTCTGCGTGGTGGTTTTGCTTGTTTGCTTGGCTTTTGCTGGTTCGTCGTCGCCTTTTTTCTTGGGCTTTGCTCACGCACTTCTCACATTGACGGATACCCTACTGAGCCGCTGGCGCGGTAAAGAGGCACCCTCAGAAAAGAAATAAGACAAATGGAATTGTCAGAACTGTGCATATTTCGAAAAAACTTAGTGAACTTTACTTTCATCTTGTGGCTTGCGAAAAGCTTCAGCATTTGATAGTTGCTTGCTATGACCCCGGAAGGCACAGCAAAGAACTACAGCCAGTCACAAATGAACCGTGCTGCACCAAAACGAAACAAAGTGAAAGACGACTGTCCATCTCTTCTTCAGGCTGAGCACTCTCCCCCCCCCGTTCACGCGCGTCGTCCACCCCTTCAAGTGGAACAGCAAGTCGAAAGCTGAGGATCCTAAATCATCGAAGCTTGACCATGCTTACGATCTTTGCTTGGAAGCTTCCGCTTCCCTAGTACCTCCGTGCGCGTACAAGGGCAGGAGGCGAACTGTGGCACTGTGAGATACTGTGAAATGCCGCGATGGCAATGGAATAGGGCAGCATCCCTGGCAGAAACATCTGCTAGACATGTTGGAGCTTGCTGTAGACCTTGCATACGTCATGTCGGATGTCCAACCCAACGACCCTTGCAAATATGTGTCGCCCCCATCCCTGCACCATACACGTTCAACATGTTCAAACATACACGCGCAGCCATAACATCGATGTAGACTTAGGCATATTTTGCTTTACTTGCAAAACAACTCGGCCCAATCGGAAAGCTCAAGCCCGTCTTGCGAGCATTGTGTTTGCAAATCGTGGCCCCGCGTCACGACTACCATTACTTTTGCTATTGATAGAAATACTACTCCTTAATGTATACGATGCCAATGACACTTTCAATCGCTACTACTACTGCTATTATAGCTACTGTTGTTCTTACCGCGATTCTATTCCCATTGGCACACCCTGGCTGCCTACGGTTTTTAAATAAACCTACGATTGTTCTTCGAGTTTCTATCTCGAAATTTTTCGAGAAACCAGAGCGGCAGCCGGGAATCAGGAATACTCAATGTCCCTAGGAACATCAAACAGTTAGCGCATGCAGATTTTCTTTGGTCGGGTCTGTCTAAACACCCACAACAGCACATATTCCTTAGAGAACTTTCACCTTCTCCTCTAGACCCAGAACTAGACCCAGAATTTCAAGGTCTTGAACCCAAGCCTTCCAAAGGTGCCATTGGTTAATGTGGATATTCGGTGGATGTTTGACATGCAGGGTGTCCATAAGAAAGTACGTTATTTTTTTTTTCAATGAGTTTGCTTTGGAGGAAGTGCGCGATTGACTTGCAAGCTCTGAAGTAAACCCTGACAAGAGATAGGAGGTGGTACCCTATGGGCTTGCATCGGTTTTTTAGAAGAGATAAGAAGCGCAAATCTCTGTGTCAGTCTTTATACTTTGGACAGGCGAAGGAAATCACTCGCAACATGCACATAACTCTAACTCGATAGAACTGTTTGGAAGCATCGGGGATTAAGGTTTTTGATGCGCGTCGCAACGAGAATTCTTATAACAGTTAACCTTTGCCCCTGAGGCATGATATTTTGTTATGGCTTTGCCATTACAAGCAGTTCCGCGCTTTGGGTGCAGAAAATGGGTTCAAGGGCTTAGACTTACATGCTCGAGTCACGAACGAAACTAAAACAATCGAAAGAAATGGTCGAGCGGACTGCAGAACGCAGGCCGCCGCAGCGTTCCTGTTTTTCGTACATATGCTACCGCCACTACTAATCATTGCGATGCTTATCGGTGTTTTTTGGGTTTTTGGCAAACTTCGCCTCGCCAGGAAAACCTTGCTTACTAATTCCATATCCAACAGATCCTGCCATGCAAGTTTCAGCACCCGCTGCAGCGCCTTCGCTGGCAGGGACATGGCTCTAACCTAGCTAATGGACCCTGTCTCACGAATCCAGCTTTTGCGACGTAGCATTCTCGTTTTGGTTACATTTTCGTTTGCGTTTCTGACCGCTCAACGACAGCCCCTATGCCGACAGAAATCCTGGGCCGCAGCCAGTGCAGGGCTACAGGCATCATTTCACAACAGAACTCTGGTTTGTTGCTTGTCATCCTTGCCCAGGCAACCCGCTGCTTTTCGGGCAAGGGCGAGACAATACGGAACAGAAATGCGCGAATTCCCTTATGTGGCCCCTTAAGCTGTGTGAAAATCATTTGAATCCTGTCAAGCCCGTCATGCGAGCATTGTGTTTTCAAACGAGGGGGAAGCTGCCCTCGCCCCCCAACCTACCCCCCCTGCTTTTCAAACCTTGCACGTCAGTAAACCTCATGCCGAACAACATGCCACCAAGAGGAAGTTTTGCTACACCCCCGTTTTGAATTGTTGCTGGCCCCTTCTTGTTTTAGCCTGTTCCATTCGCCCCCTTTTTAGTGCTGGTTTTGGCATCCGCAGCTCTGGCTGGCGATGTCGAAGCAGCACATCCAGCACATGGCTCAGGGCATGACACATCTCTGTGGCTCAAAGCATTTGTAATTTTATTGGGTTGCCACGACGAAATGGTCTGAAGAACGCATGCCGGCATATGGTTGCCAAGTGGCAACCGGGCGACCGCAGGATTCCTGCCCGAACCCCTAGGTAAATTCAACATTAGAAACGGCCCACATTATGCAAAATCAACGACTCACAGACCACCGGACCTGCCCAGTGAAAACATCGCGCAAAATTTGTATGGACATGGTGTGCCACAGACTCCGTCCGTGTTGTTGAACGTGTGTTCTTTGTTGTTGCCTGTTGCCCTGCTTGCAGAATGTGGCCATGGTGTTGCTTCTGCTTCCCGGTGTAGCCCCCCTCCCTCTCTCTCACTGGATTCCGTGGCTTGACTCCTGGCTGGCAGTAGTCCCAGTGACCTGTCCAATCGCCATAGCGGATGCAGGCATTGAGGTGGTTGTCTCCTTCCGGAGCTGCCACAAACCTTATGCAAATCGAGTTTACAAAAGCCAGCGTGATGCAGCCAAACCACATCCGCAAATGCTGGTCAGTATACCCAGCTCGTCCACAATCCAGGAAATAGCAAACGCAGGACTGTGGCCCCAAATCCTCCTCCGACTGTGGATCCGGAGAAGAGGGTATTGACTTTCGCTGCTTCCTGATGTATAACCCACATATGTGGCAAATCCCAACCATAAGCAAAAAGAAAACATACCATCCCAGACTCCAATACACCGGGCTGAATCCGGCGATTGCTGGGCAGTACGAGCGTTTCGTAAACACATCTTCAGCTGGCTTGCCCCACAAACATGCAGGCTTTCCATCTTCCAGGATGGCTTTCGTCTCGTAACAAAGCACAGCTGAATCAGAGAGGAATGCTAGCAGAATTGGTGGGAGGAAGATCAGAGGTCGGAAATTTGCTTTGGCTTTAAAGCGGAGTGATATGAAGTCATCTCCTGGCAGCTGATGGTCCTGTAAGCGGGAGACTGCATTCTTGTTGAGCGGAGGCCACACGACAGGCCGATTCTTGATCAAGGCCCTCACCCGGCAATTGACTGATGTGACTGGCTGCTTGGGGGATGTCCAGCCACTATCAGGAGTCGGAGGAGCAGCGCTCTCGGGGACGCTGTAGATGCCTTCTTCACTGTCCACGCTGATTTGACCTGGAGCCACCATAGCTGCTATGGCTTGTCTCGGCTGCTGCCCCTATACAGTCTACACACTTGAACCCAATGCTAACAGCCGGGCATTGCTCAAACGGCTGTGTGCGGAAGATTTCTCGAGACTTGCCACAGGCACCGGTTTTGACTTGACCTCCGCGGTGGACGTTTTACACGGCAGAACTGAATGCGATTTTAATGCGGTCAGTTGCTGTCACGACGTGTTGAGGAACTGGCCACTACGTACGTCACTATGCCAGGCTTGCCTGTCAGTGCCACACGAAACTTGCTACATTTCCACACGCACACGTGCGGTAGAGCGCGTTCACGACTTCGTCACGAGTGTCGGGTGTTGCTGGACTGTTGCTGGGATCGGCATTGTATGGCACTGTGCCCATCTACCAAATTTCTGTTGGAAGTGGTGATGGCGGAAAGCAGTCTGATTGCATGCTTCAAGAAGACCGTGGAAAATCTACACCATAAACTGTTACAGACTCCTGCTTCTGCAAGTGGTTCCCCATGCTTCCTGTTACACCATTTACCCGATATGGGCCCTATTGGGCATTGATTGGCGGTGGCGCTATAACACGTGACGGATATGACTGTCAGTTGGCAAGGCAGTACAGTACAACTAAAGTAGGGTAAGATCATTGCTGGATCTTGCCAGAACTGTACAGCTCGCCTACTCAGACACCTGCGACTGCAATGACAGTCACTGCAATGTCCACAGAGCAATATTCCAAAACAGCGAGACTGCGGTGGAGAAAGCGGCGCAACAGAATCTATTTCCGAAAGGGCGATCATGCACGTAGCGCATAAATCTTGAAAGGCTGCTTCCCTTCCAGTCTTCAGAACCGCCTCAGGCATTCAGTTCATCCAAGAATCTAAGAACATTGATCCGTCAACCGCCGATGGCCCATGGATCATGACGTGAGAATGCTGTCACATGATGTCGTGCGACATTGCTCTGTACTCTGCTGCCACTTCTACATCGCACAATGGATGATGTGCCTGTTCTGGCTTGCTCTGCAGGACTCCGCGGATTTTCCAGCCAGCTGCACAAAACAAGCCTGACCACAAGGTCAAGAAAGCTGCTGAAGCTGCTGAGGCACCAGGCCATGCCAATGCAGCATCCTGCTCCGTGGCGTCAGGCACTAGCGCTTCGGTTGTGCTGCAGACTTGGCGATAGACCTTCAGATCTCGAAAACGTTGTATTGCTGCAGGCAGGAAAGAAGTCACGGAGCAGAGCCCTGGAATCTGCGTGCTTTCAGGTCTGCACCACGGCAGTTGCAAAACAGTAGAGCGATGCAGCAACCGAAAAAGTGCACCACGCCCGTCTGATGTTTCGTACACTTCCAATACCAAGACATCTGTGTATGGAGGCCACTGTCCATCCCACAGACCCAAGGCCACAAGCATAACCAAGATGGTCGTGTCGTGAGTGGCCCACAAGGCGAGAGGCGTATGGTCTGTAGAGGAGATATTTGGGACGTTCCGGGCGTTCTGTGCTTGCTGTTGCATGACTTGGTCGAGTTCCATCAGTGCCGGAGCTGCCAGGAGCTGCATCTTCTTCACTGTCTCCGGGTCTTTCGAATAATGCTCCTGAAAGAGCTTCAGTGAGATCGTTAAAGCCTCCTTGAACAACTCCGAATCTGGCTGCAAACCCTCAGGTGCGCGTAGTGCCTCTTGCTTAGAACACTGTGCAACTAGCAAGCAATCCTTGAAGCTCGCCTGAAACTGAGTTCCTGTAACGTTCGTCCATTTGCGGGCGAAAGACGGAAACCGACTTTGAATGAGCTGCGGATCAGTCTTGAAGTGTCTCGCATGACGCATGTGGCCAACACGAGGACAGTGCTGGTTCAAGTCCCAGGGATCACTCGAGACAGGCCGTGAGTAAAAGGAATGTGTCCGAGTTCGAACATTTCGAGTGGAGTCGTTCTTGAAGAGGTGGTTTTGTAGAAGGAAGAGTGTCGCTTGGGTGCGCTCCTTTCCCGTGGAGTACATTCGAGTTGTCTCAAGAGTTGGCACCGACGGCAGGGAGCCGAAATACTTTTGTTCGATCGAGTCAGCAAGCGCCATGGTTTGCGGGACAGCATCGTTCAATAGCACACCTTTACCACAGCCGGAGATCTGGGAAATGTAGCCAGACCCCGGCATGTTCTTCTCCATGGATGGATATGCATCCAAAACCTGTCGCAGCAACGGCACCGTTTGTTCTGTCTCGCCGTTGCCCACTTTGAACGAGACCATGCGCTGCACGGAGCAGTTCTTGGCCGGTGCCATGTTTGAAAAGCAGGGCTTGTCCGACGACAAATCTCTGGCTCCATGTCGGAATATTATCTGAACACCCACCAAACGCAGTCCTTCATACTTCAGGACTTCATCCGCAGGGGGACCTACGATGGCTTCCTGCTGTGCCAGGGGTGGCTGCGCACAATATCCCGAGTAAGGTTGGATGAGTGCCTCATCATAAGATTGATGCGATGCCAGAGCAGGCAACACCAACGCAAGCAGAGGCACACAACTCACCATGCCTTTTAAGCGGCCGGGAGTCATGCAACAACTTAGGGCAATCTGTGCGAGATTGCACGGGTGGGCATAGCGTCGGGCCTAGCGTCGGTGCGATTGCTGACCTAGTAACGTTCTTTTGAAAATGTTTCTGTGATTTGACAGCCAGGCTCGTACATCCAGCAACTTGGGGCCCTTGCTGGGCCTTTACTCGCAACAGCACTCAAATCTACAACTCTGTGGCTGAGCTTGTTCAGATGTTCTGGAAATCAATTGCCAATCTATCGATGCAGACTTGGTATGCAGTTGGCACAGCCATGATGCGCACCCAGTCAACCCCGACTATCTAGGAGCTCACGCAGCCAGGGACTTTTGTCACATTGCTATAGTACAGGCTGCAGCATAAGATCGGTTGAACCTAGCGGTTGCCTGCTACGTAGTCTTCCCTCCGACGATGATCATAGCCACGGCACCTGAGGTGTATTGGCTGCGGCGCATACTGAACTGCAGTATACTACAGTACTGGCGTAGTATACCATAGTCATAAACCTCCAAGAGCGAGGCATGTAATGAGGCCGATGGTGACCGTCCCCAGAAAAGACCAAAGGACGACGACGAGAAAATAGCTCCAGTACCTTGCAAAAGCCCATTGCAAGCCATGCAAACACTCAGCGAACTTTGGAGGCTGCGGCCTTTGGCCATCTTGTGAACCTTCTTTATTCGTTATGCCTCACATTGTGCCTTCATTTGAAGCTTTGTAGTGCGCCATAGTGTGCCATAGTGCGCCACTCAACCCCAAGTCGAGCAGGGATATGCCATGACATTCCCACACTTGCAGCAAAAGAAGCAATGTCAATATCAACGCATATTGACTTGCATGCTCATGACGGCACTTCCCTTTGTTCCATTGTTCTTGGTGATTGGAGTAAGCGGCGAATGAACACTCCACTGAACACTCCCAGACCTAGTCTTATCACCTCGAGACTCAAAGGACAACGGGAGCACATCTTCTTTTTCTGCCGAACCCTTTCACGCGCACCGCGCACCCTCACCGAAGTCTTAGGGGTGACGCGTGTAGACTGTAATTAAACACCACGTGATTTCAGCTGGCCCACTTTTCTGTTGCTATAATGCGCGGCTCCCACCACATTTCGGTGCACAACATCACATGGCCAAGGTTCTTAGATGCTTCTTTTTGGTACGTGAGATGCTGACCACATACAACTTCCCCGAAAGTTGCAACTATCACAGCCCCTAACGGTACCTCGAACCACGAGCTCACTATGCCTACCACAGGACTGGCTGCATGCTCCGTTCCAGCGATGTGGCATTGTCGGGTCGCGCATGCATGCTGCGAGTTCAGCACCGCGCATCAAAGAGTAGCCTATACACTGTCAGCAGCGGCCCAAGTGCGAACTGTATGTGATTGGTGAGACCGGCGTGGGCTTGGCCCATTGGCTGCGAAAACGATGACCAGAAGACATCTGTCTACCTCAAACAGTGTGACCATGTAGGTGGTGCTGGATGAAGGTTGCTGGTGCTGTTGCTTTCATGTGCAATTCTGCAACCTTTATGAACAAATCATGTAAACTCGTGACAGTCTCAAAATCTTGCATGAAGGTTGGGAGGGACTCAACGAAAAAGTGTGCAAAAATGGCGTCCGCGAGTTGAGCCTACTAAACTTACTAAACTGTTGCACGAGACATCACGGGACCATTTCTTGAGAACACTTCCCCTCCAGAGTTTGGTGTCGGGCAATATGCCCGACTTCAGGGCTTGCTCGTCGCTGCCATGCACCCGGGCGAGCCCCAGCGATGTCCGTTTCTTTTCTTGGTCAAGACTCGGTTGGTTGCAGCTTCTCCCTTTCTCATGCTGTTTGACGCTCTCCGCCGCTTTGTAAACAACGAAGTTTGTTCCCTGCCGTGGTCTCCTTTGCAGGTGGTTCTGTTTTCCACCCGTGCAGAATTTCCCTCGTCTTCTCGGTGTTCAGGTTCTTCGATTTTTTTTGCTCATGCGCTTGCATCGCTTTTAAAACTGTCAAAGATCTTTTAAAGCACCCCGCTTCATAGGCATGGTTGTTCTTGAGCAAGGATGCCTCCGAAGTGCCGCCCACCGGGCTTGCCATGGCTTCCTACATCTTCCTACGATCTCATCAGGCCTTCGTAGTGGCAGCGCCTTAGAAGATGAAATCGCGGAATCAAATCGCTGCGATTTCAACTCGCAGGCCTGAATCGCTGCTTAATTGCTCTTATTCAAAGGTTGGAAACGCAAATCGCGCGATTCGGGTTTCCAATGCCAAATCGCAGCTTGTGCTGCTTTCAATCAGCACTCGTGAGAAATGGGTTGAATGAATTTTGCAGGCTTGGGAAAACTCATTAAGCCTACTTGGCCCCAAGACGTTGTCGCTCTTGGCTGTATTCCGTCTCGGGGTAAGCATGGTTTTAGGTAAAGGGTCGTCATCGTCCATTTATCGTCGTCGTCACGGAGTGCCACTGACACATGTGACACCAAACCCTCCGAGAGGCCGAGAAGATGAGCACGCGCAGATGGAGTTGTCAGGAAATCCGCCGAGGCCTCGGGCCGGAGGTGTATAGGTTGTCAGAACAGGCACCCCCCTCCAAATCCTCCCCCCACACCCAAAGCCCTTTTTCGGACCCCTTTTTTTGGCCTCAAATGGGTACCCCCTCTGGGAAACCGGGGTCCGCAAGCGGACGGTTCGCCAGGACCAGAGGCACCCACCCCCCCCCCCCCCCCCCACCCCCCCAACCCCCCCCCACCCCCCCTGCCGAAGAGTCGCCTTAAACCTTAAGGGCCCTGGCTCAACCCTACGATCACTCCAAGCCGAACCCTAAACCCAAAAAAACCCTCAACCCCAAAGCGTGAACCTTGAGCCCTAAACTAACCCTCAACCCCAAACCCCAAACCATAAACCATAAACCATAAACCCGGAACCCTCAACCCTCAACCCTCAACCCAACCCTTATTGCTTGGGGTCCAGCGACTTGGGCGCTGCGGAATCACCATGCTCACGCGGATGCGCTGGGCCGGGCCGAGGCGGGTCGCGTAGCATTAAAATGAAGCAGCGGAGCTGCTCGAGTGAGTTTTTAACGAACCCCAGAAAATCATTCAGCTTCCCCAAGCTCCCCTTCAAGCCTCTTTCTCAACCCTTCTACACATCCCTTCCAATCGCGCGATTCGGGCTTTCCCCAAACGCGGCGATTTCGAATCGCTGCGATTCGAACATCTAAGGGCAGCGCGCGCATGAAATCCTGGACAAAAACGGAAAACGATGTCACCACGATAGCTGCAGTGAAGGGATTGAGGTTTAGGACACGAAAGCGCTGTCTCTGTTATGTTAGGAGCCCCCTCCACTGTATCCCTCGTTTCAGGCCCCCTGCCGCGACTAAGCAAACCTCGACTCCACCAGATCCGGAACCACCCACTGTCCCGAAAGACCTTGTTTGGGGTGTTCGCAGGGTTTGAATTGAAGGAATGCGGTGTGAGCTTGAAGGGAGCGGTGCAGATGGCACGACCCCCGAGAGAGCGGGCGTGTTACCCCTCGAGACTTGGATCCAAAACTCGAGACTTGGATCCAAAATGGCTGTGAAATCTCCCTCTTATTCTTCTACTTCTTCTTCTTCTTCTGCAGAGTTTGAAGGCTGAAGCCCTCGCTCACCGGCACGCTCCGAGTCCATGTGCGGCTAGGCTCCCCCGACACTTCACCCGCGAACCCTCCAACCTCCATTGCCGTACTGCTGCCAAGAAAAAACGAGCCTCCTGTCAGGCTCTTCTTCTTCTGCCGGGCTTCCGCGCGTTTGCGTCGCGCCCTTATGGTCGCGGAGTCGGCGTGATACGGAAAGAAAAGATGAGGAACCTACATGGACTTACACTGATGGGACACCCCAAAGCAGAGCTTTCCGCCCCTTACGCATGCGTACCTCTGTCGGGGGCTCTCTCGATGTTTCTCTTTTTTCTTCTTCTTCTTCTTCTTCTTCTTCTTCTTCTTCTTCTTCTTCTTCTTCTTCTTCTTCTTCTTCTTCTTCTCTTCTGCTGGGCATGGCACGGCTCTCTTTTTCCTTGGGGCGTGGAGGGAAAACCCTCCGCACGTGTCGTGCGCCCCTCTTCAGCGCCTCCCGGGAAGTGTGAGGCTCTCTTTCTCTTCTTTTTCTTCTTCGTCTTCTTCTACTTCTTCTTCTTCTGCGCAGACTTGAGGGCCCCTCATAAAAAACAAAAAAGAACAGCCTGGCACCAAACATCAAGAGTAACATGAGAAAGGTGCATGATGTGCATGCCATCAACAAAAACACTTATGTCAGTGTGGACGTCTAGCAATTTGCCTGCGAAGATGTGAATCATTGTGAATCTCACTCGATAGTTTGAAGGTGTTTGAAGAGGGAGGCAAAGACTTTTGGCAAGCACTGGGTCGGCACCAGAGGTAAGGCGCGGAATCCACGCATGCTTCGGTACCAGCACCTCACAGCAAGAAGCCAGAACCGGAGAAAAAACATGTGCCAAGGAATCACCGACTAAGATTGCATGAACTGCATGACTACTGTAAGCTCCATGCTCACCCAAGAAGTTCCCAGAAGCAACCAAGCGAATGAGCCTGACAAACTTTGACGCTCAGACAACAAACTAGCTGCGAAAAATGCCACCCAGCTGCTGCTCATATTCACCGAAGATTTTATGCAAGCTTCCGGTCGGTGTTTTGCTGCGAGAACTCGTGAGGTTTCGTGGATCTTGGGGGCTCACACACATGCCGTGAAAGAAATTCTTGGTGGCAATGGCACTTCGACTCTAGTATTCTGAGGTGTTCCATTTGCACTACGTTTCACGGGACACACGTGCTGCTTGAGGAGTCCCGAGCTCACCCTGGGCCCCAGAACCCTAAAGTAGCCTTCAAGTTGGGCCCCCCTGACAGCAAATTTGTTTTGTTTTTCGGAATTGTAGGAGCTTGTTCGGGGGTGAGAGCTTGCACGGACGTCGAGCCCGATTGCGGGTCCGCTGTACTGATCTCGAGTGCTGGGCATGAAACTTGGCTGCGAAAAAACGACGCGGGACATCGCGGGACGTGACATGACATGGCCAAGCGTGTGCGAGGTCAAGATTTTGGGCGACGACTAGCGACGAGAATCGGGAACGTTCGGGGCTTGTTTGTGGAGAGAACATGCTCAGACTGCCCTTCGTGCAGTTGTGTGAACGGATTTTGCATCATCTTTCGGAAGTCGTGCGTTTACTCCGAACTGCGCTCAGTCGCTCAAGCAAGTATCCGTGCTCAGCATACTTTCGGGCCATCAACTGCCATTCCAGCCATTGCACACTTGTAGCATCTGTCCCGTTCCCGGTTGACCTGGGTGGTGTAAGCCCTTCTGCCCTTCTTACTTGCCTGGGCGTCACTCAAACACGGTAGCCATGCTGGGCCTGCACAAGCTGCAGCTTCAGCAAGGAAGCCCTGGCGGAATGCCGCCTGAGCATCCTCAGCACATACCAATTCAATTGCCAGTCGTGGTAACGTACTGTAGCTGTCTGCCGGACAGGCATATGCATCAGGTCGTCGAACTGCTGAGAAGCCTCACATTCTCAAAAGTGGTGAAGATAAGTAAAGCTGCCAAGCTGGCCTAAACATGCCCTTCGAACTCAAATCATGGTCACAAAAGCGCAAACTCCACAGGTGCTGTGTCCATCAATCAAGCAAGTGTTCCCGTGATGCTTGCTGAGCAAGTCGCCGCTTCTCTCTGTCTAGGCAAAGACTCACCTAAGCGCATGACGACCCACTGATGACTGCTGCGGATGCAAGCTAAAAGTGCTTTGAACAGTCAGCACACGTGATTTTCAACGAGTGCCATGCTTGAGCACTCGTCGATCATGTACCAGGTGACGCCATCCACGGAACCCTGAGCGAGCATGGTACATGAAGAATGAAGTTTATATCTGCTAAGCAGCTCATTCTTCAACACTCGAGTTCGCAGTGGAGAAGAAGGTCGGGATGTGTTCAGAATAGACTACCCAACAACGCAGAACATAACTTAATAAGATTAAGGGACGAGGTATTGATGCACAAGCGCCGTTCCCAGTCCCGTCCCCGCACTGTCCTCCACAATCCAGGAGCTAGGATCACACTCTGGACCCTCAGTCCTCGCATGCGTCAGAAAGGGGGCTACGCAGCTTTGCAGCTTTGCAGCTTTGCAGCTTTGCAGATGTATCAGACTTCGCCATGCAATATGCTACTCGAGGCACATCTACGCAAAGACGTATAAGGGCGAACATGCCTGCTTGTTGCTTCTATACCCACCCAAGTGGATTCGCGTCCTGTGGGTGACGATTTGGTACCCCGTCACCTATTCAGCACAGACAGACCTGCTAACTGGCAAACCACATTGTGCAGCATCAGCCCTGCACCAGCTCTGGACCATCACGTATTTCCACAAACCTAGATCACAGTTGCAGAGCATGTGCTGCTTGCCATCTTATCTTTGGCAACGGCACCATGTTAGCTTGGTTGTGTACCAGTAGTTTCCTTCGTGCCGTTCATCTACAAGGGAGCGATGGATAGCGCCCCCGCACCTGCTGACAGGAACATTCCAAGCTAGAATATTGCAGAACCCTGCTGGATGCCTGTTGTAGAGTACGATTGTGTCGAGCCTCATTTGTCGTCAGTGGCAATGCATGTATGACGTGAAGCCGCGTGAAGCCTGCGCTGAGGCACGTGCTTGAAATTCTCTGGATGCGCACCTCCCCGGATCTTCTTGATGGTGAAGCGGACGACTTTGGTTCTGCGCACGAAAGTTGCGGGGAGGTTCATGCATATCAAATACATTCGGCAGTATGGGGTTTGCTGCATGTTTCCGGAGGACACATTTTGCTAGGAGCGGAAGGTGTCAGGAGAAGAGTCAGGAATCCGAGATCCTGCCATCTTCTTAGGGTGGGGGGATATTCCCCTCTCCCTTATCCCAAGTATGGGAGTCTCTATTTCCCCCCGCCCCCCCACCCCCGAGCTTCTCCTCACATTTGTGTCGGTTTGGTGGCTTGTTTCCTACTTGAATGTGTGAGGTGCTTGCTTTTCTGGTGCCCCACGCGCGCACGCGCGCGCCATGCGTGCGCCTGGGGCTTGGTGTGTAAACAAGGTGGCGTTTTGAAGGCATTTTTCAATGCGTTTATGTAAAGACTCTGGAGGCTGCATTGGGTGTTTCCGGGCTGAGTTTGGGCACCCGTGGCACAGGCTCCAGCGTGCGTTTTCGGCCGCTTCGCGTTTTGGGTGGCTGAGTTTCGGCGCAGAAGATATGGACTGGAATCCGTGCTTGCAAAATTCCCGCAAATGCTGTGGGACTGGACTGGACGGGAACACTGCACTTGCGAAGCCCTTGCGAATGCCGTGGGACGGGACTTCTGTCGATGCAAAACCCTCGTAAGTACCGTGGGACTGGGAGCCTGGAATGCAGCGGCGAACCCTGTCAAATACTGTACAGTGTTGGACCGGAATTCCGTGGATGCAGAGCCGTTGTAAATGATTGTAAACTGCCTGCAAAACCCTCGCCAATACCGTGGGCTGTCATTCCGTGCTTACGGAACCGTCGCAAATAGCAAGAATGTCCCAAACCACGTCATTACCAAAACGTCGCCTAGTTGAATAGACCTTGCTTCAAGACGCCGCTTCGCGAAGCATATTGCCTGCTGAATTGCACAGTGTTTTGCTTGACTCAACAGACCTCGAATGCATGAAACCATTTTCTGCTTAGTTAAACCATGCCCTGCTTCATGAAATGTTTAGATAACATCGTCCCATGCGGGTGATTAATTACGCCACACCCCTCCCCACTCACGCATATGAACACAAGAACACATATGAACACATGAACATGAACATGCTAAGCCATGTACATACGTGTATATACATGTAATTACACACGCAGATTCAGAACTTAACATACAGTATGGCCTTCCAATCAGTTAGCCCCAAATTCCATTCGCATCAAGAGACCCGGGCCCGGTATGCATCGATGCATGCTGTCGATCATATGGACCGACCAGTCTCTTGAATTCTATAATTCCATATAATTCCATATCCATTGCAAGGCGATGTCTATATACGAGTACATATAATTTTGACTTCTAGAACTTCTAGAGTGTAATTCTACAATTTTTAAAGCCCCCCGCCCCCCCCCCCGGCCCCCCCCGCTTGCAAGCAGAACAAGGCACGAACGGGAACACTAAGGCAAAACCGATATTCAAAGTCAAGGAGCACTACGGCCAAGCAACGAAACTTGTCAAACGGAACCAGGGGACCAGCAAACCAGCACTGGCAGACCACAGAAACAAGCGGGTCAGCACTTGCAATGCAACATCCCCTTTTAAGGGTTTGCCAGCCATTTGAGCATTTGACTCTAGGATGAACTTGACATTAGCTCCACAGGCATGATCTCATTGACAGGTACAGAATGGTACAGACGTTCATGTTTGCTGCAAAAGAACCCCGCTCCTTGGATCATCCTTCATGACCATACGGTGCACCAGGTCAGTGACAGGAAAACCCAGCAAAAGTCCACCTGTCACGAACATCTAACAAAGGCTGGGATGCTGGGAGCCTGTCGCGTCCTGCCTATCAGCCAAGTCCTGCAAGGAGGAGTCTCTACAGCTTTTCTAGAGAGGGTACGCCCACGAGGTGAAACTTCCGAAGCTCTGTGTTGCCTTGACTTCCGGACCCACGTTTTTTACGAGAGATCGGATTCCTGTTTCAAAATTGAAGCTCGCGAGCTCCGTGCTTCGCCTGAAGGCTGAAGTCTGAATCTCGGCAGCTTCGCGTTCGCGCTTCAAAAACGTAGCTTATCCAACCGACCCTGGCGCGCGATCTTCATTGAAACCTTGTCTAACTTTGACAGGAAACTACTCATGACCATATTGGCTGCAGGACCCAGTGCTGCAGAAACTTCTCCGTGACACATGGCGTAAAACCAACAACAAGATGCTGCAAATTTGCCTGCAGTCCTCAAGGGCACGTCGCACACGAAGTACAAGCTGTGGGCCACAGTCGCAACCGTTACGACATCTGACCAGTAGAACACGCGGAGCACTCCTGCCAAAGTCATCGGGCATCACGTCAAAACAGGTGGAGACTTCCATTGTTCAAAACATGACCGGGCGACTTGGAATCATCTTGCACCATCCGGTCTCTTTATCGCCCTGGGCTGGTGATGATCATGAGCAAAGTGCTGTAGCCAACATGATTCAACATCTCACAACATCTTTCACGCCTTGCTGAACGAATCTTAAATGGACTTCACAAGCGCGAATATTGAGCACCAGCGATTTCTTGCGAACCCACTTCTTCCGAAACTAAAGATGCGCATAAGCTGACGGAAAGTTCAGCTCACAAACATCCCAGCAACTGTTTTTCTCTTCGGAATTTCTGAAGCAACTGAAAAGTTCGTTGCAGCACCGGTCTAAGGCAGTAGGATCCTCGTGCGGCTCTACTGCAACGCTTGATAACCCTTGTGGTAGGGCGTGTTAGGCCACGTTAAGCCGTGGCAGGCCCGACAGCACGGAACGAGTGCTGTGGTGGCCGGGGTTAGTCGGTTCCTAGCCAGGTCATTGCATTTTGTTCCGCAGTTTAAGCCGTTTGTGACAAAAGAACAATGCCTGGAAATATCAAATTTGGATCCAACAGCCCGATCTGTACAGAGTATGTGGAGGAATCGGCCTTGCTGGCATCGCTTATCGCGAAAACAAGGAGGCCGTGGAAGAAGAGAAGGTCTTGAATGGGTTTTGGATTTCAGGGTCCAGACATGGTAGCGAAATTCGTTGGGCGAGTTTTCGTTCGTGCAAGGTCGGATCCGTCGGGTCGATTATTCCGTTAATTCGATCGAATGAGGTCGCTTTCAAACTCGCATCGCTGATGAACGCAGAGCAGGAAAAGAGGACCGCAGGACCGGAGGATTAAGATCCGGATCGTCACAGGCTCCTTCCAACTTCCCAACCTTGATAGAGACTCATTTTCGCGATGCAAGTTTCGTTGGGATACTGCTGCGTCGCAGAGGAACGGATGCCTACAAGCGGAAAAAGAGCGGACCCGTATGTGCAACTGCACAACATCAATTTCTAGGTCTTGGACCTTTATATCCCTTACAGTAACCACCTTTTCTGGTCCCCCGAAAGAGCTAGCCCTGCCGCTCCCGATCCCCCTTCTCTTCACAACCCCTCTTCGTCGCCTCGTATTTGCTTCCTTGCTTGTGTCTTCGTGTTTTCGTATCTTCGTGACCGTAGCATGCACCCACGATTCCCCACGGTTTGGGGTTGCTTCGCCGCGGCCGAGGTGGGCCGCGTAGCGTTAAAATCATACAGGCTGTCCTGAAAGTGGTGACACGCGTACTTACAAACACTGGAGCCCAACAACTGCAAATCTTGAGTAGTTGGAGCTTTGGCTTCTGAACGGAAACCGGGTTGATGTTTAATGTGACTCAGATATCTGAGTTGCTACTGATTTCATGGCTTCCTCTTGCCCAACCTCCTTCTCATCGCTGAAAGGATCGACAATGGGCTGCACCTCAGCACAAGTGTCGGAACAGCAGCAAGGCAAACAAGGTAAACTGGTAGTAGCGCCGAAGCCCAATACGTCCAAAAAAAGTGCTGGACAGCAGAGCCCTGTGGCTGCAATCTCATGCAATCTCTGTCTGCATGTCTGCAAGGAAACACGATGCCAACATATGCCAACATGAGCTCAAAAGCCATGGTAACTGAGCTGGCAGCAACAGCCCAGATGCGCGGAAGCGCTGCTTCGACGATGCCGGTTGCTATGGCAGGAATCGCTGTTACAGCCTGCATCATGGATTGCCTGAGTAGAGCTTCACTTTTCTGTGCGTCATGGCACGCCACTCGCAGTATCTCACTAGCGTTACACCGAGCAGCGTCGGAGGTGGTAGCTGCGGCCTCTCGGAAACTTCATGTCATCTCTTGTCTTTGCAGATGTGTATAACAAGCCGCTAGCCTACACAACACCTTCTGAGGAAGACGCCGAACAGCTGTTCCAGATTGATGCAAGCATGGAGCAAACAGGAACTCCTCAAAGGTGTGGTGGACAGTGAGTGACTATTCTTCCTTCATCATACTTCTGTAAGCTGCGATAGTCACCTCATGACGACCCCGAAGGGCGACTTTGTCTCCAACGGAATCTAGACCTTGCTTGACAGAGACATAAGAAGAATAACATCAGAAACATGATTCATGTGTCAAGATTTAAGAGCTGGGTCTCTGTCTCAGGAAGCTCTGCAGCACACCATGTCTGCAACAGCCAAGGCAGAGAAGTCGAGCTGCCCAAGCGAAATTGTGTGAGATGTAGGTGCTGAGACGCACGCCGCAGCTTCGGTACTGGCTTTGCATAATCTGAAAGCCTCACAGTTGAAAAGCGAGCCGCATCCGGGTCGAGATGCCCGCAAAGAGCTTCCGACAATACAAAACTCCCAGGACCTCTTATGCTGAGAGTCCCGCCAAATCTCATGAAAGTGCTGTGCTGGCATTGACCACGCAAGTTGATGTCTAATGTCAATGACAGTGGCTGCGACAGATAATGAGGTGATGCTGTTGCTGATGTTGCCAAGAATCTGCCAGGGCATACAGATTCATCTAAAGTTCTGAGCCCTGCTTGCTGCAGACGCGCATCACAAGGCTGAAGTATGTTAAACTTGAGGAATGCTCGGGAACAGATTTCAAGCCGTGCCCAAGTCGAAAAAGGCACGTGTCATTGTCCCTGAATATACTTCTCATGTAATGCTGTGCGAGGGGAGGCTATGTTGTGCCATGCAGCACTACTTAACTCAACACAGGTTAATGTTTATTTGCGCTGTATACTGTTAAGTCAAGAAATCTCGCATCATGCCATGTGATGCTCTAACACATCATGTGTGGACATGTTGGAATACTATGGCATGCGACTGACATCTTGCGACGTCGTGTGCTGTCTGCCACAGTATGAGAGGTTACACCATCCCTGTGCCACCCGTCACAGTGTGGGATATTGTGCGAGTTATGTTATGCTATGCTAGGGTAGGCCACGCTGTGTTTTGCTTAGCCGTGCGGCGCGCAGTGGTATGCCATGCTACGTGGCAACAAAAGGCATGCTGTTGAGCCTTGAATCCGAAACAGGATCATGCGGGTGAACGCCATGCAAGCTCCTGGGGTATGATGAATGTCTTTGCAGAACCAAGCAAATAAAGAAGCGCAGGGTTTTGGGCTCAAGGCCAGGCCCAAGACTAAACCAAGAAAATTCGCCCATCGGTTCTTTTAAAAAACAAATGAGCCCTCATTTTGATAATTTCGTTTTCCCTGGCCGGGTTTCACGAACCGCACCCAGACCCTTCCAGACCTCCCCAAACCCCTTCAAACAGTCCCAGGTTTCTGAACCCTCCCCAATAAGAAGGTTATTCAGGGGTACGGTATACTACTACATGTTAAAGAGGGGGCATGAACTTTAAGAAACCCAGTGTACCCTCATCTGGCATTATCGCTTTCTTCTCCAGCACTGTAGGTGCAGTGGTAATGTGGGCAGGTGTTGGGCTAGTGGCATCGGCATCCTCAATGAATACTGGTTGAGAAGATGAAGATCGTGCATGGGTCGCTGACTCGACAACGACAAGGACAGTCAGTCTGTACTTTCTTTCAAGTGTGAAGCTGTGTGATGCAAGCTTTTAAAAATCATGCGGAGAATCATGGTCGGCTTCTTCGAGCATAGAATTTGTGTTGCATGGCCCTGCGCTGAATGTTTGGGGCACAGCACATCTCTAGACTAGTGGGTCGTGGCTGAGCTGCAAGCTGTCATAAGCTCTCGCGCGGTGGTTTTCCGCTTCCAGGCTTTTCCGATACAACAGCTTGACAACGACAATACACGATTCAAAAGGATCATGGCGCGGGAAACTCGCTGCCTTTTGTCTTCTGAGGTCCAAGCATCGCAGAATTGGACAGCCCCACGGAAAGTCATGAGCATGCAGCGAGCTTTTCAACAGCTCCAACTTCTCTGACTTTAGAGCTGAAATTTAAGGGCGTCATACTGCAGTGTCCCAAGTTCACTTTCGAAATGGAACCTCCTTCTCTTTGTGAGAAGACACCATTTAACTTATTGTCCCAGCACTTTGGCATGGAACTTTCAATATGCTACAGCATGATTCTTCAGCTCATGCTCTCAAGAGCGGCTCAGAGCACGTCCGTTTTGAACAAGCTCACCGCCGTCTATATGTACCTGACAGTTGAATACTTCAGGCGGTCAAGCTATTGTCCCGAGATGTCCCGAGTCTGGACCATCATGGTGGGGTGCTTTCGTTGTGCAGCATGGAAACAGAGGGTCGCTTGCTGCAGGGCCGCTTAAACGTGCTTCCCTTTTTTGGTGTACTTCTTTCGTGGACGTTGCTGTGAGCTCTCAGGACCACTCAATGGCTCGAATAGGCCAGCGATCGAGATGTGGACGTTGTTATGGCAATGTCGGGCATGTCCTGTGGGATTCTGCTTTTAAATGTTTGGCTCGCCCTGCTGATCGTCTAGCGAGGGAGGGCCGAGTCGCGAGGCCAGGAATGCCTGGGTCCCCTTTGGTCCCCTGCGTCTGAACTTCGGATGCTGTCACTAACCGCATGCTTGCCCGATGTTGAAACGTTGCAAGCACTTATCATAACGCTCTCCTCTGGACTTTCCAAACAGCCGGCTGCACGTCTTCACGTTTGCCAGGTTTCAAGGATCTTGCAGTGTAAACTCGAAAGCTTGGTAGCACTTCAAGCAGCTCTTACCGACTCAAGGTGACCTATTGCCGAATTTCCGAACATGGCAAACAAAGCTCCGTACCATATCCCGCTCACACAGCCGGCAATACGCTCCGCGTGGATCACAACCTCAGCAGCATGATGGAATGCCAAGGAGGATAACCTACTGCGACACAACACTCGGATCCTGTCTGAGCACAATGTGGCACAATTGCAGATAGCGAGGCTATGTATGGCTATGTTTCAGCAGTCCCGCCAGATAACAGCAAAATGCAGCGTGCGTGCCCGTGCCATGAGGGCAGGGCCGAAGCTGCGCCGGAAAACTTCACTCTCCACATGCTCTGCAGAAGCCTCCCCGGGGATGCAGGTGACTGGTGAAGATGATACCGCGAATCACAAGGCTTGACCCGCATCTACTCCTGCATCTTGGGCGGTGATAACTAGCGCGCATCAACACGAAGATGTGAAGCCTGGTGAGAGCAGAAGAAATGGCGAGGGCCCTCACCTCAAACAGAGTTCTGCAACCCAAACGTCCACAGATATCCACAGCACTCGCATTCAACAAGCAGAAACTATGAGCGCATGAGTCCGCGTCATAGACACCAAAAGCGAGCACAGCCAAGGCAGCACGCCTCGCAAGAAAATGGTCCTGCATCACATATGCCAGCACATTCTGCCACAAGCTGAGCCTTGACTGGGCCAGCAGCTTCTTCCTGTGACTCCGTGAGCTATGAACGTGAAATAACGTTAGCACATTCGAGCACTTCATAGCGCCTCTAGATGAACTTCTAAGCCTTCGTGACATGTTGCATCATGCTGCAGTGTGACTGCTTTCTTGAGGTGCGACATGATCCATCACTACACTCTCCGTATCTCTTCGTGGACCCAGCAGCAACAAGGCTTGCTTTGTCGAAGAGACGCTTTTGACCGTTGCCATCTTGGCAACCGTTTTGAAGCGTGAATGATGATGGAGGAAAAATCCAGGACGGAGTGCCTGCTCTGGAGCTCCTCCACTCTTTGTCCAGGTGCTGGGTACTGGATGTACTGGCATCCGTACATGTTCATCTGCCGTCGGTGGTGGCCACACTGTGGCCACTGTCTGGGCCTTCAGCCGACACTCTTTGTCCCAGTGCCGGGAGCAAGTCTGAAGTGATGTTGTTTTGCTGTCAGCATCTGAATCAGACTGCCCAGCTCCTACTTCTGAGGGCGGCGCGAACTGACACAAGACCAAGATGCAAACAGATCCGCTTGGCAGGACCCTGTATACAACCCGGCTCGCCTATACAAGCATGCATATACCCTCCCGTCTTCCGAGGGCGGTGCGATGACAAAAGCACACACAGGGATTGCAACACGCGACAAGACATGCTCGTAGGCATCCCCTGGCATAAGCAAGCGCGTGCGTGTGCGCCCTTGCGGAACTCTGCAAAGCAGCTCCTCCCCAACTTCTGAGGGTGGCGCGAAAACTACCCAACACGATGGGGGTGTAACAGTGCAGGCATGTGCAGAGACAATGGAGCGCAATCAGTTGGACTCCACATAGGGAGGAAAGGCCCACCACCAACCATTGGGTTTGCACAGCTGCATCATGCGGCTGGCAACTCGCAACGGCGCCTAAGGGCGGCGCGAGCCCGGAAGCTTCGCACCACGACGCTCAGCTCCTGCAGCAGGGAGGCATGGACTGGCGCCGCATCCTCGCCAGATCGCGTGGCCACCGCTCCAGCCAACTGCTTCAGGAGGGCGCTTGCCTGGCGCTCCCAATGGCCGGTCGTTTCAACCACCATGGGGCGGAAAGTGATGCCCTGGGCTGCGCAGGCCGCTGCGGTGCCCAAGTGTGCTTCCTTGTGCCTCGCGTAATCTGCTGCCGCCGCCCCAGCCTCCTTGCCGGCCTGGGCCAAGGTCTCCTGCCGCTGCGGTGCTGTAACAGCGAAGTCAAGTGCAGCAGGGGACCCGGCCCAGGAGGGCAAGTAGACGTCAGCAGGGCGACGCCTCGCAGATGAGGCATCTTCAGAGGCATGCGGCGGCAGCAGCCCGGCCCGCTCCTTTTCCGGGGCGAGGCCAGCCCGCACTGCCCAGTCAAAGACCACATCACGGACAGCGTTGTGTCGCAAGGTGCGCTCGCCCCCGGCAACACAAACTGCCGCGTGATGAGACAGCTTGTCCAGTACCGCGTCGCACTTCGGACACCAAGTGTCTTCCGAGGCGTCGGGCATCCCGAGGCGGAAGCGCAGCTCCTGGACAAACACTGCCGGCTCCATGGTGGTCTTGCCAGACGGCACCGCCGCCAAGAAAGCCCTGGCGCCCACGCCAGCTTCAGAGCGAAGCACGGCGGCCTCGGCCGCACCCGCCTGCGCTAGTTGTTGCTCCCAGCCAGCCGTGTCGAGGCGCTCAGACAGGTCCCGCTGCTTGCAGGCCAGAGCAGCCTGTGTGGTGAGGGCCTGGTTAGCAGGTAGTTGCCTGTTGAGCTCAACAATCGCCGCGGCCACGGCTGGAGAGGACGAGACCGCAGCAGCGGAGAAGCGGCTGTCAATGTCCTTGCATGCGCTCAGGCTGGAACCAAGAGACGCCAAGTAGGCGGCAGGCGCGTGCGTGGCGCAGGAGCGCAAGCCGAGACCCGCCTGCGCGAAGCCTCGGGCGGCCTGCTGCCACTGGGCGCGGTCGGGGTGAAGCATCTGAATCTGTCAACTTGCGTCACCTGACCTTGCCAGCCTCTTGGCCAGTCTCCATTTTCTGTGCTTGGCAGAGCTGCAAGAGCTTTTGAGAGAGGGGCTGCACCTTTTTGGACGACGGAGCTCCCTTTTTCGCTCGACTTCTTGAGACCGGATTGCAGGGGACAAGATGCACACAGCTACACCGAGCTGTCGTGTACAATTCACAATCAGGCCTCCGAGAAGATAGGAAGCCTGTCAAAAGAATACATCATTTCCAGCACACCGGACCATGTCAGGACCATGTCAGCACGCGCAAGTCATGCAGCACTTCTGGGACAGCCTCATGGAGAAGATACCGCTGCCATAATCTACGCCTTCGTGTCGTGAGCTTGCTGATAGGGAATGACGCCGATGCGCCAGCTTGCCAAGGCATGGACAGCCAACGTACCCCCAGAGTTGACAAAAGTCTTCCCATTGCCTGATGATCGCATCATTCTGTGCACTATCGCGCAATCAGTTATCACTCGTGCAGCTACTAGCCAACTACTTCCACACGTAAATATGTAGCACACTGCGCAAACGCGAGATTTCCATCGTCCATCATTGTCCTTAAGAGTCGCCTAATGGATCTTTTCGCTCTTCCAGCTTCACTCTGTAACCCCGCAGCTTCCGTGCATGGTCAGTGCCTCACGTACCATCTCTCTGTCTCTGCCCATATCCCATATTCAGCTACTTCAGCTTCCCATTCGCAAATCCTAAAACTGTATCCTCGGGCTGGGCCAGACCTGGCCATCTCGGGCTCAGTTTCTTGCTCTCCGTGTCTGTGGCCCTCCGTGGAAGCCGTGTATGCAAACTGCATTGACTCGGGCCATGGGCCATGTGAAAGAGGCTGAAAACGGCATATGACACATTCACGCGCATTCTCTAGTAACTCTCGTCGACTCTAGCTATTCCACCTTGATCTGCTTCCTTTGCCCCTCTGTGAGCTTGTTTGAGTAGCTGCCTCATACACCCATGTGATCCGCACTGGCATACGGTGATGTCTTGGGTCACGGCATCCAGTAGGTTCCGTCGTCTCCTCAAAGGATTTACTGTTGTCGCGTGGCTTCTGAGATTCTGAGAGCAGCCGTCTCTGCCGAGTCCCTGCACAAGACTGAGCCGCAGACTGGCCCGAGACTGCAATAAGGTGTCTCGCACATGCCTCGCCAAGCATCAGTGCAAGAATGCGTGAACGGGAAGTTTCAATCCAAGTTTTACTTCCATGATGCCGTGGCAGATGATGAGCATCAACATACAAGACAAATAGAGATTCTGCTCGCCAACTGACTATGACTAAGCAACATTTCTGCCATGGAGCGGGTATTTCTCCCACAAAGGCGAGGCATCTGACCAGGGCCCCTTCCACTCCTTGGGGCTTCGCTTGTCACCCGTGCAGTGCGCTTTACGAGGCTTCACGGCGTGCTGACGGAGGGTTCGGCCCTTAGGCAGCTTGGGAACGAGCTCCGGTGCCCCACGGATTTCGAATCTGCACCATGCCTGAGAGTGCTGAATTCGATTTGTGAATGCTTCTGAAGGATAAGTAACTGATTTGCACATGGGCCATGCCGCAACATGGACGTATGACAGTACCTCACGATATGCATATATGCACACTGCGACTCTCTGTTTGCTGCATGTGACCCGCCAATGATGCCTCCCCGACCTTGTGACACCAAGTCTCACCTGTCTAGTGTTCTCCAGCACCTTGCATGGTAAATCTAGTGCAGTCATCCTGGCACGAGGCCGGACTCGTTGACAACGGGCGCTAAAGTATTCTTATATATTTTTTGACCTACATTCGCCAATCCTCTGTGCGCACTTTGAGAGACTGGGTAGGCTCCACTTCCACATTGCTCGTGCCTCATGAGCGTCTATCCTCCTATATCCACGTGAACTCACGAATTTAGCAAGACGTGCAAGGATGCTTCAATTTTAACTGTTCCACATTGTTCCGAACTCACCAACTCACTGGGTCATCAAGTCCAAACCAATTAGGCTGCGCACGGAAGAACTCTTCTGAGTGCCAGCTAGTGTAAACTGCACGTACCTGCTTGAACGGCAGAACCCGTACGGCTCGCGTCTCAAAATGCCACAACAGTGCACCAGCGCGCCTGCAGTAGTGAGAATGCATGTCCCACCACAAGGCCTGAAGGCGACTTTAGATTTTGCAAGAGCATGGGTTAAGTTGAGATCCCATTCCCTTAAATTGAAGCCTTTGGTGGAACCGTATTTTTCTGAACCTTCAAGTGCATCCCTTCGCTGCAGTACAGCCTCAAGTGGACCTCACATGTTGGCCAAACCACTGCACAGCGACTTGCCTGTGAAACAAAGACCTTTGCAAGCATGAATTTGACCGGGAAAAAGATGATACATCAGCGGGTCTATCCGCCAGCCCAACCTTGCTGTTGGCCAGCTGGCTTGACGCCTCCGCAGCCTGAAGTCCATCATCGCTCATGATCTGCATATACAAAGCTTGTTTTGGCAACCGCTTGCACTGGAGCACGGAGAGTCGGATAGTCATGCCAAAAGCGTGAGAAAAGTGGATGACTTGAGGGTCTGAGGGTCACACAAAGTACAGCTCCTTGTCGATGATAGTACCGTAGCAACAAAAAGAACTCCTGCAAAAGTGAATCGGCTGGGTCGCGACTTTGCCTTTCACTTTCAATTCTTCCTGGCATAGCAAAAGTCCTCGTCATCGTGCGACTCTCCCGTATGTCTGAAGCCACATGCTCGTTTGTCCTGGCCACCCTTGCTTGCTGGCAGTCTGCATGCGGGACACTGCGTATTCGATGATGAAGGTTGCACAGCAGGTGATGTGGACAAGCATCGCTCCTGCGATTCCTCTGCCACAAGATCCAGGCGGTCCCACTTGCCGTCTCCCTGTGTAGCAGAGACTGTCAATTAAAATCAATCAAGACGTGGCAGCACAGTCATGCAGAGTCCACCCGCTCATATCGCCAGGCACTTCCACCCGTCATGGCCGAAATTCCCCATTCGGTGATACCGGCCTGCGCAGCAACAAGAATTGACAAGAAGCAGAGCCATGCAGTAATGTTGCAAGTTGACGTCACAATCGCCACTGCACCTCTGTGGAGGCATAGCTACCGCAAAGCTTTGCAAAGGCCTGTGCACCACAGTGGCGCTTGGATGCCGCCTTTTCAAAGAAGCTTGTCACTTTGCTGGCATTCCCAGCCTTTTCCAGCAGCATTGTCCAAATCTCTTTACCATGAGGTCGCGCGTACATGGCCTCTCGTGCTCTCTTTCTGGTGAATTGATATGTGAATCACGTGGGCAAGCATGAGCCACGTCGTGTTCCAACGCTGCGACAAGATATCTGTAGATGGGGTCGCAGATCGGATTCTTTTGCCCCTCCTCTAAACAGCCTGATCTCCCTTCTTTCTGGAATGGATGATGGCAGGATGGGTTTGGGATCAATCAGGGTTTTGGTTCAGGGTCAGGGCTTGGGTTTGGCACAGGTTCAAGGCTTGTCTCCTCTTCCCCTTAATTGAGCCTCGCCCTATGGCAAATGGAACACTTTGAAGCCCGTTTGGCGGCCTCCCTGCTTTTTGGGCATGTTCCCCCATGGAGGGCCTCAGTCCTCCATTTTGAGCATCTCCCCGTGCGAAATCTGCCGAGGCCTTGGGCCGTAGGTGTCTGGGTAGCACAAAGCAGGCACCCCACCTCTAATCCCCTCCACAGCACGACCAGGTTTACACCCCTTTATTTTGCATTTTTGGGCCTGAAATGGGTACCCAGTGTCCTGGAGCAAACGGTGCATCAGGACCAGGGGGCACTTCAGCCTGCCAGAGCCCCTGCCCCGAGTGGGTTGCCTGGGTTGAGGCCGAGGCGGGTCGCGTAGCGTTAAAATTATTGCGCATGCTACGTATTGTTATTGCTATTGCTATTTGCTATTTGCTATTTGCTATTTGCTATTTGTTTTTTGCTATTTGCTATTTGCTATTTGCTATTTGCTATTTGCTAGTTGCTAGTTGCTATTTACTATTTACTATTTGTTATTTGCTATTCGCCATTCGCCATTTGCTATTGCTATTGCTGTTGCTACTTGCTATTGTGCTTTGCTATTGCTACTTGATATTGCTGTTGCTATTTGCTGTTGCTACTTGCATTTGCTTTTTGCTATTTGCTACTTGCTACTTGTTATATGCTATTTGCTATGGCTACTGCTATTCGGCTATTGCTAATGCTATTGCTAATGCTATTGCTACTGCTATTGCTACTGCTATTGCTAATGCTATTGCTAATGCTATTGCTAATGCTATTGCTCATGCTATTGCTAATGCTATTGCTAATGCTATTGCTAATGCTATTGCTAATGCTATTGCTAATGCTATTTCTAACGCTATTGCAAATGCCATTGCTAATGTTATTGCTATTTGCATTTGCTTGTCTTGCATATATTAGGCAGGCAGAGTAGGTATGGCTGGGGGTCAAACCCCCCTTTATCGGCGGCGCCTTATCGGCGGCGCCGTCCCTCTGTTGCAAGCCTTTGTCGCGGAGTGCTTGTTTCACACCCTTTGTCGCGCGGTTCTCTTGCATTTGGTAGACAAGTAGGAGGCCTTGTCGCGGAGGGGGTTTGTCGCGGAGCCGACCCTTGTTGTTACAAGCTTTGCGGCGGGATGGCCCCAGGGCGCCTGGTACGCGCCAAACATTTTGACTCACAGTCATACAGTTGATATAGTAGATCAGGTAAAGCAGATTTAGAAGACATGAGCTCCATTAGATATCAATAGTAGATGTGCAGATATGGCAGACTTCATAGATATGGCCAGCTAGTGTACTATACAAGTAGATATTACGTGCAACATGCTTTCTAAACAGGTAGACCCTCCGCCGACCCTGGCGGCGTGTTGGATGTGTTTGGAAGGTGAAAAGCTCTCTTTTTCCCTCCGTTTTTCCCTCCCGTACGGCACTGGCACTGGCGGGGTGGGGCGGGGGTAGTCTTCCTGGATACCCCTACCCGCACCCCCTACACAGCTTCCAAACACCTGGGCCTTGTCTGCTTGCAAACTTCTGATCTGCTTCTGTGCTACGCTAGGTGTTGCGAGGCTGCAATCCGCAGAGCCTGGGCCAGGCTGTGGAAACTTGTGACGCCACAAAGCGTGAGTCCAATCTCGGAAAAGGCTCCCAGGGCTCCCAGTTGGACCAGCGGACCAGCGGCAGCGGATCTCCGCCGACAAACGGTTTGAAGACGCAGACCACATTACACAAGCCCGCGATAGCCCGTGCTTTGGTGTGGAGCTTGCCTGATGTCATGCCTCGCGATAAGCTTGGTGTGCGTGTGCCTGACGATGTTGTGGACAATGTCAGAGCGCAGAATCAGGATAAGGCGAGCAACGAGCCCAACCGGACCATTGCCTCCCGTCAGGCTTAAGCCTTCCATTCCGGTGCCTGGCTTTACGACGAAGAGCTCCGTGGGCGCCAGAGCTGCACCCATCTGACCCGGCAAGGCACCTACGCCGCCTTGGCTGCCGATGCCCAACTGGCCATAATCATTGGAACCCCAGCACCTGCCGCAACATGCATCGGCAAAGCGCACTCGGGATGGAGACCGCCTTCAGGCACCTTTGAGATCCCCCGACCAGCCCCTCGACCCAAGAAACATCATACCCTTCCTTCCTCCCGAGCTACGCACCTGAAAAACGACTGGACCAGTGTTGGACTCAGAGGGCAACAGTTGTGTTGGATCTCCGGGGAGATGTCATGTGGCACACGGCCATACCCACATGGACTATGACCATTACACTGCCAGACCATTGCATGGGAGGGAATCCTGCAGTTCTTTTGCGCACCAGTGTCTTTCTCTCTGGCTAAGTGCTGGAGTCTCGGATGTTTTCTGTGACGTCATTCTGATAACGTCACCTCACGAGCATTCTGCCAAGCAGCTTGGCCGCTTTCCAGCGCCAGCTCCGCGACATGGGTCGTGGGGGGTTCCTTATTCAATTTTCCGCGCTTGGTGTGTCGGAGTAGAAATTGCTCAGGGTTTCCGGGTTAAGTCCGTGCTCGTTGTCCAAGTGTGACTGCACGTTTGCCCAGGCAATGATGTGGGTGCTTCCCGGGCTGGTGAGCCGAGAACTTGACTAGAAGGTGTCTCTCTTCTTCTTCTCTGAGGGTTTGAGGGCAGGCGCCCTTGTGCAGCAGCGCGCCCTCTGGCCACGAGTCCAGTGTGCGACACCTCTCTCCCTGTAGATCTTTAGCTCACTCGAAACCGAAGCGTATATGATTGTCAATACTTGTTATGGACTCATGAAGCCCGGTGGGCCTTGGGAGTACCATCAGCACATCTTGCCACGCCGTCAGAGTCTTGTTGATCAGCAACGCATGGCACAAAATCATCTAGGATGATGACCTGAAGCTTGGCATCTTGGCACGTGCATGAAGATGCTGAAAGCTTCAATGGCATCTACATGTAGACCCAAGACGCACACGGCGGCCCCAATAGGTTATGACCGAACGACCGATGATGGTACGCAATTGCACCAGCAGTGTGGTATTCGCTCAGATGCTACCAGGCAGCTTTCCACTGCTTCATTTGAGGATCAAACAACTTGATTTTGTATTTCCCGTCAGGCTGAACCTGACTCGACGGAGGATTTGTAGCAAGCAGTGCTTGCCACCAAGTGCCAACACAATGAAGAAAGTCGCTGGGAGGCATACGCAGGACTCTTGGAAAAGCCGATTGATGGAGCCCTCATGCTCGGCCAAGGCTGCCATGGCCTCGGCTCTCGCATGCTGTGGCGGTTGGCTTTTGGCAGCACCAAGCAACACTGCCAGCTCTCCAGCACTGCCAACGAGGATGGATGGCACTGGTCATGGTCATGGCATCACTACGCATGAACATATTATCCGTGCCCATCCGTGCCCTCTACGCTCAATTTGAGAGCACGATCAGCCCAGGAACGGCCAGCAACCAGCAGTCACCCAAAGCACCCTGCAAAATATCTTGTGCCTGCAGCATGTGGAGGTGCAGACCAGAGGAAGTGACATCAACATGTCGGCTCTGTGGGCACCTCGATTTTGCCCTCAAATAAGTGCATCTGCGAATCCTTGCACAAGCACATGTCAAGCACATGTGCATCTTTTCTGTCCTCCTGCTGTGGCACAAGAAAATATCGGGCCACAACTCCAAGGGTCGGATGAGATGGCTGGGCTCCACTATTCCTGTGCAGCAATGTCCGTAACCCAGTCAGTTTGCCAGCAATGTGGTGATCAACAGCATGCAATGCTCATGCATCAAGTCACAACTTGCTTCTCCACCAAAAAGGCTGCTGCATGGAAAAACAGAGCCGAAACTGTGAACATGTAGACCTGTGAAAAGCTTCCTGTGCTCCCTTGCACCTCCGGGGAGTATTTGCTGGTTCCCCCGAAACTTCCGAAGCGTGCGCTCCCAACTGTGTACTCCTCACACTTGTTGGATCCGCTTTTGCAACTTCCCCACGTGCCCCTCCCCACCCGCGCCTGAATTTGGGAGGTTTCACGTGCAAAGCTGCTGGAAGGTGTACTCCCCCTCAACGGTGTTTAGGATTTAGGCATTGGAAGCGTGCAAAAACTTCGTAAGCAACGGCGATCACGATTGCCAGAACCAGGAACGATACTGAATGTAACACAAATGAACATGACAAGTAGATGACGGCATTCCGCACTGTCAGGCTCTGCATGCCTTGTTTGCGAGTATGCAGGTACTGCAAGGAAAGGAGCTTGGATGTCCCCAGCCCCGGTCAAGCGTTTGTCTCCTGCTTCTGCAGGATTCCGTGTGGAAACGTTGCTAGGTGCGTCAATGTCTCGAGCGCCAAATGCTCTTGTCCTTTGATATGGTATCTCGATGTATGTCTGACCAATTTGTAAAGGAGTCTGCATGCTTGCTGAAGCATGCCAGCGGCTGCTGCGACTGTCACGGCTCGCCTGGAGAAGTGCATTGCTCGCACCTCGGCCATGCAGAGCTTAACCAGTCTCAACTGTGGTCGATGTGTGTCTTGATCGACGATTTCAGTTTCCAGCCCAAACTGTGCCACCGCCTTGCTTTCCGCTGGACTCATTGGCGGTGTCACCAGAAACCTGACACTGCGACATACTGCGACCACCATCGAGCCGCAAATTGAAACGGCATCCCACCTTGCCAAGCGAAGCATCGTTCGGCGGAAACTCCTGGTGATCCCACATGTGACAGCAGAGTGCACAGTGGCAACCGGATGCAAAAGGTTCCACGCAGCCTGATCCACGAAAAAGGAGGAGCAGCAGCCACCAAGATGCCAGTAGGCTCGCCATGCGTAGATATAAAGGCACGGTGGAAGATAGATCCTGTGCACGCCAAAAGAGGCAAGTGAAATTGGCAAGCTTCAGCAGGCATTGCCTCAAGGCATGAATTATCAAGACAATCGGACCGAAAATGATGTTGTAGAGCAAGCACGCCTGCAGCAACTTACTCCAGCTGTGAATGCTACCAGTGCCCAGAGTCTCACTCAAGTCTCACGAGTGTCAACGCGCATGTTGCTGGCGCCTGTCCTGTGTACAAAGCAGGCCAGCACCTTGACATCTGCACGAGCTTGAAGACTTTGCAGAAACTGGGCAGCAAATGCTGCAGTTGACAGATGCGAACGTATCGAAGCTCGCTGCTACTGGCCACACTCACTGCACAGCGGCAAGAGTCGGCAGCCTACTCTCATTCTGCTCCAGCACATATGTAACCCATTCTAAGCACAAACAAGTATGGCAATCGCAACAACATGTACGCAGCGGTCCGATGGGCAGGGCAAAAGGCCATGCTCCGTGTCAAAAAGCAAAAGCCTTCTGGAAAGAATAAACCTTCCAATGGTGATTGATCGTGTTCATGGCGGCTTCCGGGCGGAAGGGTATTCATCATATCTCGTTTACAGCTGAGCTCTCAGGCGAAGGCCACAGCCAGCGATCTGCCAATCTTCTTTCAGGGCTATCTGCCTGCATCGCACGCACCGGCAAGCTTTGCCCAACAATTCACCAGGCTTTGCCCAACGAGCTCGAAAATCATCACCACCAGCAACCGCAACCGAATTGTGCTACGAGACTCCCCCCCGAGTCATGCGCAAGTCAGCAATGCATGATCCCGGCTCGCAGTTCGCCAGTTCGCCAACAAGCATAAACTCTTAGCCTTGTCCGCCGACCCCAGCGGCAGCGGGGCGGCGTCAGTGAAGACCCATGGTGTCCTCTTCACCCCTTACCGTGTCTTTTATTCCTCCCCCCCCCACCGTATCCCCTCAGGGCATCGGCCACCCCAAAGGACCCCCACAAGAGCACGCATCATGAGCATCAGCGGGTTGGGTCTAGGGTTTCGGATGCGGCTGAGAGCTTGGAAAACGCAGTTTTGCGGACATTTCCGTTTTGAGGCCGGCGTATGCCCCCGTATGCCACGCATGCCTGAGCCGCTGATGCTCATGATGTGCGGCCGGGCGGGGTCCAGGGGTGCGCATCATCGAGGCTTCGTTTCTCCTTGGGGATGCAGGGGGAGAGCATCAGCAGCATCAGCGGCTCCTGGGGGCAAGGGGAGGGAGGGTTTAGGGCGGCAGGACTTCGAAGGACGCTGGGGGGGGGGGGGGGGGGGGGGTGCCCGCCCACCACCCCCGCCCCCCCCGCCGCAGCCCTTTAACTTATTGATTTTCATACCAGTTAAGGGTCGGGGTCGCTTGTTGACCCACCTGAACACTAGACAAGCAGGTTGTAAACGACAGCTCTCGCAAGCTCCAAGGAGCTAGCTTTCGTGACTTATTTCCTTTGTTCTGTCTTCTTTCTGTATGTCATTCTTTCCGTCGCTGTTGTTGTTGTTGTTGTTGTTGTTGTTGTTGTTGTTGTTGTTGTTGTTGTTGTTGTTGTTGTTGTTGTTGTTGTTGTTGTTGTTGTTGTTGTTGTAAGATTCTGGCCCAAGATGAGGATTTTACTTCTCGTAGCCGTAGCGAGCTTTCTTGGGTGCCTGGGTCCCAAGTCCCAGGGTCCAGCCATGGATCAGAATCGAGGGTTTCGGGAAGTAGCGCCCCCCGATGAAGCTGAGCAGCATGCGCAGCGAAGTCAGCTAACCATGAACAAAACCGGCAAGCGAAGCTACCAAAGAGCTTGTAAAGTTGCCCTGGCGAAGGGAGCAGCACTTTACAAAGGCCGTCTTCTGACAGCTCAGGCTCTAGGAGCTCATGAAGGACAATTCGCGTCTCCTGCGAAAGCGGAGAGGCGCTCTTTTCAACCGACCAGACAGATCCATCACAAATTTGACATGGAAGTCCTTACTTGGAACGCAGGCTCAATTACAAGTCGAGTTTGGAACGAGATTCTGGCCCTTTTGGCAACAACAGAGTACAAGAACATCAAAATCGCTTTCCTGCAGGAATCGCATTGGCAGCAGGACCAGGTCTACAGCTCAGGCCCGTGGTCAGTCCTAACCTGTGGTTCAACAAGCAGAGACAAGGCTGGCCTGGTTGTTTTGGTGCATAGCTCACTGGCTCCTCTTTCAGAAATTCGCAGCACTTCCATTGTTCCAGGGCATTTGCAGCACGTCATGATCCCGTGGCAGAGATCCAGAATACATCTCCTGAATCTGTACCAGCACGTCTGGGATTCAAAGCTCTCGAAGACGGAAAACAGAGGCAGGAGAAAGGACGTGATGACACAGCTCGAAAATCGCATTCAGCGAGTCCCACAACGTGATTTCTTGCTTGTGGCTGGGGATTTCAATTCGCATGCGGTGACTGAACGTCCTCATATCGGACCCAGTGTGCCTCATCGAGTACGGTTTGCAAATGCAGATGTGAAGACACTGCCCTCGCTCTGCAAATCCTGTGGACTAACTGCGCTGAACACTTGGGCTTCTGGCCATCGCAGTACGTATGTTAACAGTGATGGCACATATTCCTCTCAGATCGATTTTTTGCTGGTCAGACTGCACGATGCTCGGAGGAGATCCAAGGAGGCCTACTCGGATAAGAACTTTCCTGTGGCTGCCTACAGAGATGGATCAAAACACTTTCCAGTGCGAGCTACTCTGTTCATTCCTCCTTACAGTCCTACACCCAGCAAGCCACGGCCATTTGATGCCACAGCCCTGGATGCGAGCTTTCGGCGGAAAGATGACAACTGGCAGGCATTCTCACATCGTCTGACGGAAGCAGTGGTGAGGACAATGCAAGTGAGACCGTCTTGGCAAGAACTGGATGAAGTGATGGTTCGTGTATCAGCTGAGCACTACCCACCACCACGCAAGTCTCAGCCAGCAGCAGGTCCAATCCATCAGGAATATTGGAAGAAAGTGCGGCAAATCCAGGCGCACAAGAGGGCTGGAACCGAGCATAATCCAGAATGCCAGAAGCTTGTGGAGGACATCAAGGAGGAGGCGCGGACTTTCAAAAAACAGCAAAAACAAAGAAAGCTAGAGAAGCAAGAGCAGTTGCTTCTACAAGCCCAGGAAGATAAAAGGCAACAATCCCACAAACTGGCTCATACTCTCAGGAAACTCGCTCCGTGGCGCCCAGTGCAGAGAGTCAACCTAAGGGATCAAGCAGGTGAGCCGCTTGATACGGAGGCCTCACTAAAAACTATGCGCGAATACTCGAGTCAAATCTTCTCCAAAAGTCCTCCTTTGCAATCAGTAGATGCTGTGCCCAGAGCAGCGATCACCGCCTTGCAGGTATCCTCACAAATTAAGACAGTGCCAGTGGGGAAAGCAGTCCCCAGCACCTCAGCTCCAGTATCAGCCTGGAAGAGTCTAGGTACTGAAGCCCATGAACACATAGCAGCTCTAATCAACTCTGAGGTGTCTCAATCAGAAATTTCCCCTTATCTAAAGGATCCTAGAATTGCATGGATCCCCAAGCAGGGCAAGCCAGCCACCGCCATGCCAAACCTGAGGCCCATAGGAGTCATCAGCGTGCCAGGAAAAGTGCTAGCAGGCGCAGTGAAAATTCGCATTGCGCCAGCACTGCAGGTGAGCTCACAGCTCCAACCTCAGTTTGCGTATATACGGCAGAGGGGGGTGAGGGACGCTATCGCGAAAGCATGTCAGCACCTCGAGAGCATCGCAGGGACCTGCACAAGTCCCAACGCGGAGCCAGGCAGGCTCAGCTGTCAGGTGCTCTCACTATTTCGGTTGATCTGAGCAAGGCTTTTGATTCTGTTAATAGACATGAGCTGCTAGCAGCCTTGGATCGCCTGGGAATAGACCCTGTTACGAAAGAACTGGTAGTTCAACTCCATAGTGAGACCTCCTACAACATGGGCACTAGTGGACTAGAGATTCAAGTTCCGACTTCTTCAGGAATCAAACAAGGTTGCAAGCTAGCCCCGGCATTGTGGTCTGCGCTTACACTTCTAGTCATGAGCAGAATGGAGCAGAAATGGGGCCCAGACAGCAAGCAAGCTAGGGACATCCTAACGGTCTTTGCTGACGATTTCCTGCTTCAGGAAACCTTTTCGAGCTTTCCTGAGCTTCAGAAAGTCCTGCTCAGAATAGAGGCTCTCTTTCAGTCTCTTGAGGACGTGGGGCTGGAAGTTAATCCAACGAAGTCTAAAGCCTTACTAATGGTTCAGGGCACTCAGCAGTCCATCTTTCGCAAGATGCACACGATGCGCAAAGAGAAGCAGCTGCACATCGTCCTTCCCTCAGGACATAAGATTCCGATTCATCATAAGCTAACATATCTAGGGGTGCAGCTCAGCTATGGATCCTACAAAGACCAGACTGTTGACTATCGGATCGCCCAAGCTCAAGGCAAGTTTGAGCTACTTCGACACATCCTGTGCTCCACTAAGGCTCTGGATGCTTCAAAGAAGTTGGAGATCTGGAGGGTCTATGTGGAATCCTCACTCTTGCATGGGCTTGTGGCCACAGGCATCACTTCATCAGGTCTTCAGAAGCTCCAGAGTAAATACTCGAGGATGCTAAGATCCATCTTTAAGCAACATCAGCATTACAGCCACATTGACACGAAGACTCTGTTCGAGCAATATAAGGTGCAGACTCCTCAAGCAGTTTTGATCAGCCAGATGAAAAACTATCAAGACGCACTAGATGCCTGTCAGAAGCACAACCCGGATCAGAACATACAGTGGTATCTGGGACTTAGAGGCAGGATTGTTGCGCTGCAACAGGAGCTCCGGAGCATGCAATTGGACCTGACCGAGGCAGTCCAGGAGGTGCCGTGCTCTCTGTGTGATCGGAAATTCTCCAGCGCCAAGGGTCTTCAGCACCATACACTGGTGAAGCATGGAGGACAGCGTGCGAATCAGCTAGGCCCAAAATTTCAGGTCACTGTGCATAGCTGCAAAGGACTTCCGCAATGTGTGGCATGCAATAGGCAGCTGCGCACAATGCATCAACTTCGCAGACATGTGGAGTCAGGCATTTGCCCTCAGCTGCACGAGTTGAAAGAACGAGCCAAATCCTGTACAAGTTCAGAAAGCATAGCTATGATCTATCAGTCTAGCGTGCAGGAACAACTTAAGAAGGACCCTGACCTTCTACTAAAAAAGAGACATGTCACTCAGCATCTATTAACGAACTGCAGTCTCTGTGGGCAATAT